ACAACTCAACATACAACATCTTAAAACATACAACTCAACATACAACACCTTAAAACATACAACTCAACATACAACATCTTTAAACATACATCTTAAAACCAGTGGTGGAGAAAGTACTCAAACACTGTACTTAAGTAAAAGTACAAATAAACAGACAAAAATGTACTCTAGTAAGAGTAGAAGTACCACATTAACATTTTTACTTAAGTAAAAGTAAATAAGTACTTGCTTTTAAAATACTTAAAGTATTAAAAGTAAAAGTACTTCCTGAATGTATTACATAATGCAGTGGTCTACAATATCTTTAAGTCTGCGTACCGTATGTATATTTTCTGTAATACATTAATAGTGTTGAGTCATTTTAATGAACAATGCTGCAGATAATACATGTTTTTATTGTTTACTCTGTGACACAGTTCACACTTGGACTTGTGATTCTGTGCGTCAGAATTTCAGGGATGACCTGCAGAGTTAAATGCCATTAAGCAAAATAAGAAAGAGGAATGATTATGCCTTTGAAAGTTTTTATTTAACACAAAGCAAAACCAATGTGTCATTTTAACTGCAGTAAACACATTTAAGTAAAAGATGTCTGCCTGAAAAAAGGAGCATTAGACACAACTAACAAAGGAACAGGCTCTGATCATTTCAACTCCAGTTTGTCATCAACTCTAGTTAAAATACTGTCTATTCAACCTTGTAATGGGTCAATACTGAACAATATTTTAACTTCCTGACACCATTTTCAAAACTTGTACCCGAGTGTCGAGCCATTTGGAGACATCTCTTGTCCCTTGTCCTAACATCCCATGAACTGACACATTTTAATATTGCAGCAATAATTTCTTGTTCAAGTTCAGAAGAAGTTGGTTTTCAAAGTTTTTTAAGTCCAGTCTGGCTGTTTTGGGAGAGAGAATCTGTCCTGTTGTACTGAGCAGTCTTTCAATAAGGCCATGGATGGAGCATATCTTCTGGCTGACTCTCTTGCAGTGGAATATATTTTGGGTGTGTTAGTAGTACTGTGGGTGCTCCCAGCTCAATGACGTGAATACCAGAATATATGTCATTGGTCCAGCTCTTCTTGAAGACGGGCCTAACGTTACCTGTCCACTTTGCAGTGATTCAATGGACCAGCTCCCCTCACACCATTGGTTACTTTCAAAGTAACAAACAAATAAAAAAGCACAATGCGAATGTAACTTGTAATGCAAAGCATTATAGAAATGTAGTATAGTAGAAAGTACAGATACTTGATGCAAAATGTAGTGGAGTAAAAGTATAAAGTACCCGCATTTAACTCTACTTAAGTAAAGTACAGATACATGAAAAATGTACTTAAGTACAGTAACGAAGTATTTGTACTTAGTTACATCCCACCACTGCTTAAAACATACAACTCAACATACAATATCTTAAAACATACAACACCTTAAAACATACAACTCAACATACAACACCTTAAATGCTTTTTGAAAACACCTTAAAACATACAATACAACATACAACATCTGAAAACATTCAACATCTTAAAACATACAACTCAACATACAATATCTTAAAACATACAACATCTTAAAACATACAACTCAACATACAATATCTTAAAACATACATCTTAAAACATACAACTCAACATACAACATCTTAAAACATACAACTCAACATACAACACCATAAAACATACAATACAACATACAGCACCTTAAAACATACAACTCAACATACAACATCTTAAAATGTACAACTCTACATACAACATCTTAAAACATACAATACAACATACAACACCTTAAAACATACAACTCTACATACAACATCTTAAAATGTACAACTCTACATACAACATCTTAAAACATATAACTCAACATACAACATCTTAAAACATACAACTCAACATACAACACCATAAAACATACAATACAACATACAGCACCTTAAAACATACAACTCAACATACAACATCTTAAAACATACAACTCAACATACAGCATCTTAAAACATACAACACAACATACAACACCTTAAAACATACAATACAACATACAACACCTTAAAACATACAACTCAACATACAACATCTTAAAACATACAACTCAACATACAACATCTTAAAACATACAACTCAACATACAACATCTTAAAACATACAACTCAACATACAACATCTTAAAATGTACAACTCTACATACAACATCTTAAAACATACAATACAACATACAACCAGCATCTTAAAACATACAACTCTACATACAACACCTTAAAACATACAATACAACATACAACATCTTAAAACATACAACATCTTAAAATGTACAACTCTACATACAACATCTTAAAACATATAACTCAACATACAACATCTTAAAACATACAACTCAACATACAACACCTTAAAACATACAATGCAACATACAGCACCTTAAAACATACAATGCAACATACAGCACCTTAAAATATACAACTCAACATACATCTTAAAACGTACAACTCTACATACAGCATCTTAAAACATACAACTCTACATACAACATCTTAAAACATACAACTCAACATACAACACCTTAAAA